ACCCATTTGGTTTGGCTGCTAGTTCTTGTCTTGCTGCCACCCTGGCATGGATGTGCAGCGAACAGAGCTTGCCCATCTTGCACAGCACACCCAAGTGGGTGTTCAACCACATTTGGCGAGCACGTGAGCCAATACTAACATGTCTTAGCTTGAGGGTGTGTTCCCAGGAATCATCCTTAGATGTGCAGCTAAATTCTTTGCCTTTTTTAACTTTTTAAAATCTGATTTTTGGGCCCTCCCTGGTGCTCAATGGGTTAGGACGCAGCACTACAAGCTGGCCACAGCCACTTCAGTGTCAATCCCTGGCCCTGGATCTGAAACATGGCACGGCAGACCTCTCCTGTCCCCCCGCTGCTCCCCTCAGCAGTGTATTTCATCGATCTGCCTGTCCTGCTCCCCACTCTGTCTCTGGTGAGTCCTCTCATCGCCCCTGCACCTCTGGCCTGGACCCCAGTTTCGTGTGTCAAGTCACCTATAAGCATCCCAAGGACAGCCATCTTGCTTCTCACATTACTGATAATTAAGAAATCTGTATGGCCTATTATCTTCCTCAAACCAATTTCATCTCTTGCCTCTACATATTCCCCCACCCCACCAGGTGATGTTTCTTTTGTCACAGATTTTTCCATAACCAACAGCTAGCTACTCCTTTCTATCCCACGTCGCACCCAGCTTTGTTGTAGTAACACATGGTTATTCAATACTATGGAAGTTCCAGGTTTTACTTTGTGTGTCTGAAATGTAGTGTCAGAGACAACTATCACTTGACAGTTCACATTTCTATGCAACTGGGGTCCTCTGGATGAAGGTATCTGCTTTCAATTCAAGAATTTTTTTAAAGATTTATTTATTTATACACACAGAACTGGGGTACAGGCCAGAGATGCGGAGGGCGAGAGGCTTCACCAGAGACAGAGTGGGGAGCAGAACAGGCAGATTAATGAAGTCCACTGCTGAGGGGAGCAGCGGGCGGGTCAGGAGAGGCCTGCCACGCCCTGTGGGTCACCTCCGGGACAGGTGGGAATCGAACTCATGCGGAAGTGGCTTTAGCTTCTCAGAGCTGTGCTTTAACCTGCTGCGCCACAAGGGAGGGCCCTCAAGAATGTTTTTATAAAGAGATTCCAAGGTACTGACCCTGGAGATTTCACCCCTAGGAGCTAACCAGCCCCTCTCCCAGAGCGATTATTTGCATTCTGGGTGTAATGAGTATAATTCTCACTAAGTGTCCTGGGGATGGGTTCCAGGAAATACCAAAGTCTGTGATTACTTAAGTATAGAAAATGTTTATCTAAATGGTGTAATATTTGCATATTACCTATGCACATCCTCTTGTACATTCTATTTTATCCTCTTTATTTTTTTTAAGATTTATTTGTGATTACAGAACTAGGTTACAGGCCAGAGGTGCAGGGATTAAGATTTACCAGAGACAGAGTGGGGAGAAGAATATGCAGATAGACTGAAGTACACTGCTGAGAGGAGCAGTGGGTGGGTCAGGAGAGGTCTGCCGCCCCTGTGGGTCACCTCCCCTCCAGACGGGGATCAAACTCATGCTACATGGCTGCTCAAGCTTCAGATTACTGCGCTTTAGCCCGATGCGCCACCAGGGAGGGCCCTTACATTTATCTATTTATATAAACAAGAGCTGGGGTGCAGGCCAGAGGTGTGGGGATGAGAGGGTTCACCAGAGACAGGGTGGGGAGCAGTACAGGTGGAGCCACTGAAGTACACTGCTGAGGGGAGCAGTGGGGAGTCAGGAGAGGTCAGCTCCCTGGCTGGGGATGGAACTGTGGCTACAGTGGCTGCTGATAGCTTCCTAGTGCTGAGACTTAACCCCTGCACCATGAGCGAGGCCTCTAGAGCACATAGTTTCCTAATTGTGTCAAAAATTCTAATTTCACAGGCCCAAAATAAGGATTTTGTGCCAGGATGGATTATAGCCAGAACTGTACCCATACCTTAATTTAGATATGATTTGAGACTTCTGGGCAGATGAAAATTGAAGTTTTGGACTTATCTTGGTACCAGAATGGGTTAAGACTCTTGGGAACCTTCGAATGGATGGATGTTATTTCTCAGGGGAGGGATATGAGTCTTTGTGGGCAGGGGGTTGGACGGGGGTGGACTGAGGAATGGCCCTCATCATAGAGGCCCATGCCTATGGGACCTTTGAGTACATTATCTTGCCTATGACCCACGCAAGCACTGGGTCATAGGCACAATTGATTACTCAGGACAATGACGTCGGGCCCAGAGTGTGACCCTTTCCTGAGGTCCAACTCCATGCAGGAAGTAACAAGGGTCAGTGGACTATACCTCAGAAGAGTCTAGGCTTCTGCGCGGGCTGATAGTATTCCTGCCCACTCCCCCTCAGAGACTGAGCTGGTTCCTTCAGAGGGCCAGATTAGTAGGCCTGTGTAGGTCGACCTGTACTCCACAGCTACAGAATTTTTTTTTCTTATGATTTTTGCCTATGAAATATAGTGGTATGACTGCTTAAATAGCATTTACATTGTAGTAGGCATTTGGAATAATAGGGAAATGATTTAAAGTGTATGAGAGGGGCCCTCCCTGGTGGCACAAAGGGTTAAAGTGCAGCACTCTGAAGCTATAGTCGCCATGCAGTATGAGTTTGATCCCCAGCCAGAGGGGAGGTGACCTACATGGTGCGGCAGACCTCTCCTGACCCGCCCACTGCTCCCCTTATCAGTGTAGTCCATCAGTCGGCCTGTCCTGCTCCCCACTCATTCTCTGGTGAATCCTCTCACCACCCCTGCATCTCTGACCTGTACCCCAGTTCTGTATGCATGAATAAATAAATCTTAAAAATTATAAATAAATATAAATCTATCTTAAACAAAAAAAAAGAAATTATGTACTCCAAAAACACTGTGGAGGGATGGGCATGAGGAAACACTAACAGCCACTCCCTTTCAGAGAGGGAGACTGGCAGGCACCGGCCAGTTACTCAGAATCCACCTGGGCAAACCACATTAAGCATCAAAGTCTGGGAATGACTCATACGTGATTTGACTTGCACCTCTGCCCTCTGTACCCCGGGTTCACCTTCTCATTGTAAAGCTTCACGAAGAACAGGACACATCTGTCACTGAGTGGTTTTCTTCAGCCTGTTTTCTGTAGAATTTTGGGACAACCTTCTTGTCATTTTGTCCCTGGTCTGTCCCTTTTAGAACATCGTGGGAGGAACATTCTCAACAGCTTTTTGTGCCACAAGGATTCCCAGCATCATTAGAACAGAGGCTACTCTGTGACTGTGCTGGAACCGTCTCAGCTCTGCTTTGGGCTTTTGGCTGAGAGGACCTGTTCCACACAATCCCTAAGGCCCTGTGGTGCTTGAAACTCCTAACTTCTTGTACATTGCAAGCACTAGCAAACGGTTAACCATACTTAAATCTGGTCAAGGCGAATCTTTTAATTCTATATGTAATTTACAGCTACTTAAAAAGTGTTTCTAAAGGCTGTCCAGTCACAAATTTGCCTTTCCAGAAGGCAACTTTCCTCACTTGGGTCTCTCCCCTTCAGTAGCTTTTACAATCTGGATAGGCAGAGAAATTCCCAGACCATCAGATTCTGGTTCCTTTTGTAACAGTTTTCTCAGTCTATTTCTTTCACATTTTACTGAAAGCAACACAACGCCAAATCATACTTTCAATACTTCGATGCAAATCTCAACGGAAGATCCAAGTTCACTGTTCCCATGCTCTGTTTGTACAGAATGATAGGACATAATTATCTAAGCTACCTGCCAGTCTATAACAGGAGCACTTTCTACAGGCTTCCAGGAGCTGCTCCTCATTTCCTTCTGAGTTCTCACTGAAGTGCTTTAAATATGCATCTTTCTACAAACTGTATGCTGATTTAGATATCCTCAAAATACAGTTTTCTCTACCATGTGTTTCGCTTCTGAGTCTGCCCCAGCAAGACCTGCTCTCTACTAAAAGTCTGTTAAGGCGATAATCTATTGACAGACTTTTCCTCTCATATTCCTCTGAATTCTTCCAGTATCTACCCATTACTATTTCTAGACCACTCCATGGTGTTAGTGTTTGTTGCTGTTGGACTGGAGTCAGGAAAAGTTTCTTCTGAAGACGGAACTCACCTCAACTACTCTCCGGTCTCACCCCTTCGCAGACTAGCTGAGAGCCACTGTTCTGTCCCTTGTGATGTCCCAAGTTGAGCCCTAGCGTGGAAGAAAAAGGAGCCATTCTTTAATTTTAGCCTCTTTGCCTTTTTCTCAGGGCCATGAGGGTTTTGAGTCTGTTGGGAAAGGAGATGGGGACCCCCTACACATGACCTCCCTGACTTCGCTCGTCTGGAAAGTGGAGATGCTAACCCTGCCTTGTACTGATAGCATGAGAATTAGTGATTCCATTTGCAGAGGAACAGATCGAAACATGTTCATTTTGGTGGTGATTATTTCCTGAAAACAACCCTCCCCCACTCATCCTCTATTCTGGACGGGACAATCTTGGTGACTGAACTCTCAATACCTGTGCCCCAGCGTGGCTTCTCTTTCCGGACTCCCTGCTGCAGAATCTTAAGATTAGACAAAAGCCAAAGCTGCAGTGATGTTCCCTCCACCAGGGGAGGGAAATCAGACTGTGAAACTTGTTAAGGGTCCACAGACGTCTTCTGTGTAAGGTGCAACATTGGAGACTTCAAGGTGAAAATCAGACAGGCGGACTCAGCCATTGGGGCGCCCCCAGAGCTGAAGACCTTCCAGCCAGCAGGCAGAAAGGCAGCCCTCTGTCTGGGGTCATTTGTCCAGCTACCAAATGACAAGGGGCTGACAGCCAGTCTAAAAACCCTGCCAGGAATGACAGAGTGCAGACGGCTCCCAGCTGATGCTTTTAAAACGTCCTGTGCACTGTACCTGCTCGACCACACTTGGGATTGCCGGGGGGGGGGGGGGGCTTGTGATCCAGATTGCATCACATCCTGATCAATTCCTAGTGGACAGAGGCCACGAGGGAGCGAGGAAGTAGGGGTGAGTCCGGCCAGGAGTAGGGGAGCCACCCTCTGCCCAGAAGAGGAAGCAAAGTCCCTCAATGGCTTCCCTGGGGTGTGTGTCTTCTTGGCCGCTGCTGCTGCTGCTACTGGCCGGCGCCCGGGGATGGCATGGGCAGGGCAGCCACCCTCACCTGCAAAGCCTCTTCATGGGCCGCTGTGCACAGTACCTGGACCTTCTGAGCCCGGAGGAACGGAGGTGAGCACCGAGGGGGGGGGGGAGGCAGGGATGGAGGTTCAGTGCAGGCCAGGCTGGGAAGAGAAAAGGTAGAGGGGTTAGGTGGGGAGGATTGGGGAGGTGAGGGGAGGAAGGCTGGTGAAGGAAAAGAGGGAGGGAGAGAGGAGGAGGCAAGGGGGTGAGGTAGGGGTGGGGGTGTCTCCAGGTGAGGGCTCACTGTGTGGGGGCTAGAGAAGAGGCAGGTGTGTGTGTGTGAAGTAGGATTGGGGTTGATCTACCAGTGAGAGGTGTGTGTCTGGGTGAGAGTGGTCTCTGTGGGCGGATATGTGTGAGGGGGAAGAAGGCAGGTCAGTCTCCAGGTGAGGAGGCATGTGTGTGTAAGAATGGGGGCATCAGAGCCCGAGGAGAGGGACTTTGGGTGCCAGCCAGCACAGACCCCACAGCACAGGGCTTCGGGCTCCAGCCAGGTTCCCTGAGTCCCGGTGCTTCTGGAATTCATAGTTCAGCCCTCTTCATCACAGTAGTTTTAAATGTTGAGTCTTCCTTGCCAACACGGTCCACCTTATTTTGGGGCCTCTTTGGACTCACTTTTTCCATCTCTCATAAGTCCCTTTCAATAGTTTTCACTGGGGCATATTTTGAGCAAATAAAGCGAGAGGTGCCCTACAAGGAGCACCCACAATACCCACCAGCCACCAGGAGAAGCAGAAGCCTCACGTGGGCACGTGGGTTGGCAGAGCGAGGAGCCCAGGAGTCTGCTGGTGCTGGAGGCACAGTTCATGCCCGGGCAGACCCCACACCTGGCACTCACTGCCATGTAACCCGGCCCTGTGCTCGGCCTGACCCCGCCCTGCAGGCCCCCACTGGGGGGCCCAGCTCCCTGCAGGGGTCAGAGCCCAGTGCTGCATGGGAGCTGTGACCTCTGCCCTGTGGCCGGGCAGGACTGGACCCTGAGCTCCAAGACATCTCTTCTGAGATGCTGCTGCCACCCCCGCGACTTTGTTTTCCTCTTTTGAGTTGGGTTAATGCTGGGCATGGTGCCCTGTCTGCAGCCTGGCTCTGTGGCCTTGACAGCTGGCAGGTTCCCGGGTAAAGCTCTCGGGCTCTTGGGAGGAGCCGTCCGCTGCGGGTGCCACTTTCTGGTTTCTAATGTGTCCTTTGGCGCAGGGACAAGAACTGCACGGCCATCTGGGAAGCCTTTCAAGTGGTTTTCTACAAGGATCCCTGTAATGTGACTTTCTCCGACTACGATCTTTTTATTAATCTCTCCAGGCACTCCATTCCCAGAGACAAGGTAAGTACACACACACAGACACAGATCTCTGGTCTCTATGAGGTAGAAGGTGCATAGCAGGTCTGACAGGAGCTGCCCCCAGCGAATGACAGTGTCATGCAAACATGCAGCAAGAAACTCAGGGTGCTTGACCCACACAGGAAGGTACTTTTGTCCTCAGCGGGGATTCTGGACATACTGTCCATAAACCAGTGGAAAGGGAAAATTCCCTAAGCCACAAGTCAGTCCAGAAATCCCAAGGACTTCAGGATGTCACCACACTGTTCACGCTGGGCCCCCGCATCAGTCATTCCAGACACCCTCAGTCCCCGCTGGGCCCCGAGGCCAGAGTTACTCAGAAGCCCACTTCACTTCCCGCAGGGGCTACTCCCACTTTCAGAGACCTTAAGATTCCATTCATTTGGTGCTGGTTTCCTTAAGAAAACCACAGGTTTGAGGTCTCTCTGCCCTCTACATTCTAATAACTTGCACAGAACGGTAGCTTAAGTGTAAGATACCTTTGTATTTGCTATATGATGTTTAATACATAATAACTTAGTATGTAATATTTCCTCATTCCACAGTTTTGTTGAGATATATTTGATAATACTGCAAAAATAAGGTCCACAACGTGATGATGTGACTTCCAGATAACACGAAATGATTAATACAATAGCTTTAGTTAACATGCATCATCTCATCTTGGATTCCAAAAGAAAGAACTCTCAGGCTTTACTCTAAGAGCAGTGTTCACCCTGTGCTCACCCTTAGTACTGATGCTAGAACTTGGTGCCTTCGACCACCCTTATCTAATCCCCCGGCACCCCACTCCCATCTCTGGCAACTACAAATCTGATCTTTTTTTCTATGAGTTTGGATTTTACTTGCTTTTTTGTTTGTTTGTTTTAGATTCCACAGAATTTCTTTCTTTCTTTTTTTTTTTAAAGATTTATTTATTTGTGCATACAGAACTGGGGTACAGGCCAGAGGTGCAGGGGCGGCGAGAGGCTTCGCCAGAGACAGAGTGGGGAGCAGCACAGGCAGATCGACAAAGTACACTGCTGAGGGGAGCAGCGGGCGGGTCAGGAGAGGTCTGCCGCGCCATGTGGGTCACCTCCGGGGCAGGCGGGGATCGAACTCATGTGGAAGTGGCTTTCGATTCTTAGTGCTGTGCTTTAACCCGCTGCGCCACCAGGGAGGGCACTCACAGAATTTCTTAACCTGAATTTTCATTATAAGGCTGAGTCCTTTGATTTAAAAAAAAAAAAAAATCTTTTGTTTGTTTGTTTGTTTTCATTTGTAAAGGCAGCTGAATGGTGCTTGGAAGCTTGAAGATATAATGGACTGCAACAAGATTATTATGTTTGTGTATACAGAAGCCAGCTGCCTGTCAGTATAAGGAGAACCACACCTTTATTATTAAAGTCATTAACTACTTACTAAGCTACTCCATGGACTAGACATGGTGCTAAGGGCCACGGGTGCAGGAGGGAGAAAACAGTCCCAGAGCTCCTGGAAGTGTCTACTCTAGACATAAGTGATGGGACTCCTGGAATCTGAGGAGTGAATAGAGTGAGATACTGTCATTGGTGCTATTATTACGTGAAGACAAAAGGAATGCATTTTTGAGACATTTCACGTGATACAAGCGCTTGTTGTGGTGACCTATCATCCTGACCATAGCTCAGTCATAGGAGAAGGGGCTCACTCTCCCCATCTTCCAGATGTGGAAACGGAGGCACAGGGGGATCACATACTTGGTCAAGCTCACACATCATGATATAAGTGACATAATCATGGACCAACCCAGGCCCCTCGATCTTTGCCAAGCCACCTGCAAACTGAATTATTTATATGTCCACTGTACTATATTGCACCGCTGGGCAAATATTCCATTACACTTGTATGTAGCTTTTGGGATGAGGGGAGAGGAAGGGACACTAAGTGGGTAAAGTCCAGCTGTTATAAGGAAGTCAGATTTGAATGAGAAATGGGGGGCCTGACCTGTCTTGACAGTGTACCTGGAAAAAGTTTGTTTTAATTTTATATGTTAATCTTTAGTTTGTTGTTTCCATAGGCACTGTATTGGGAAAACAACCACCTCCTGGTCACTAGCTTTTCCGACAACACGCGTCGCTTTGTGCCTCTGTGTGACGTTCTGTATGGCAGGGTTGGTGACTTCATGAGCTGGTGTGGACACAAAAATGGATCGGGTACGACTGCACAATGGCCAGGCCTGCTGCAGCCCCGCTGTCCCCAGAGCTGGTCCTTGCTGTGCCAGGTTCCTTGGTACCAATCCTGCAGCTCTTTGCCTTTGGCACTTCCTTTTTGTGCAAATGACAACAGGATCATGCAGGCTGCATACATTTGCTGAAGCCAGTAAATATTTTCAATTCGTCCTTCCCTGACGTAATCTTTGAAATCAAATGTATGTGCCTGTTATCCCCCTAGGACTGGACTATGAGTCCTGCCCTACAATGCAAGACTGTGAAAACAACCCTGTGGATTCTTACTGGAAAAGGGCTTCCATGCAGGTAATCCTGGGAGCCAGCCGGCCCATGTGGGGCCCCTGGCTATGGGCAGGGGTGTTCAGAGACGCTCACTACTTAGCTTCTTTAGCTTTACTTTCAAAACAGGCAATATTTTTGATTCATTTTCTCTGTTTCCTAAAGTTGTGAAGATTAAAAAAAACAAAAAAACAAAACAAAACAAAACAAAAAAACAACAAACTATTTAAGGCAGTGCCTGACCCAGAGAAAACATTTGGTGAATTAGCTTTCCCTGAGATTATGGAGTGGTCCTTGTTGCTAACTGGTTCCTTGTTGTGCTTTTATGATTTTAAATCAAAGTGATTCTTAAAAATGGATCTTTTACTTAATGAGATGCTCTGTAAGAAATTTAGAACACCCACTTCTGAGGGTCAGCTCCATCTGGGAGAGTATGGTCCAGAAATCAAAGCTGGTCCTGGTGCCAACCTCCAGGTTTGACTCAGCTTCTGGTCACTCTGGCACTGCTCATTCACCTCCAGTTTCTCCTTCTGCGTGGCTGACCTCACCTCCCTGGCATTGGGCTAACACAGCTTCCTCTGGAGGTCAGCATCAGAGAGATGCTTGGGGATTTTCGCATCACTGATACTCGTTTTGATGGAGGTGGTGATGGCAAATTTCTGGTGTGTTCCATGCGGAGGAATGCAGTGGGCAGACAGAAGTCCTGTCACAAGTAGCCACTGCTCAGATGCTACAGGAATCCCCTCTGGCCTCTGTGAGCAGGGTCAGAGTGGTCTGGGGCAAGGGTCATGATTATCTCAGCTGCCATGGCTCAGCAGCTGTCAAGGTGCATCTCCAGTGGGATAACAGCTCAGCATCTTGCGAGGTTAACTCACTCGGGTACCACCATTGGTTTGTGATGGTAGCAAGAATCTTATTTCTCTTTTCAATCCTGGACTAAGCGGCTGAACACTTGCTCTTGTTTGTGGCCTTTCTAGAATACACAGCCGATGGGCTACCTGCCCGTCCCCCTGACTAGCACAGGGCTTCCATTGCAGTGGAGGGCCCCCTTCTTAGGCATTTTGGCCTTGAGTTCCCTTTTTAGCCTCATACCAGCATCGGCCTTCTTGGCTTTGGGTTTCTCCTCTTGAGTACTGGCTTCTCAGCCTTTTTACTCACTAGCATGAAAATGGGAAAGAGGACCAAGGTCCTCAAGGTGAGTGTGACTGCTGTGCTGCATGGGTTGTCCTTGCTGCAGGGGAGACCCTGCAGCCCCTGAGATCTGAACATGGGATCAGCAGTGTCCAGGAGGATGATGTTAACTGGAGAGGAGGTGACAGGAGAGTAGCTGAGCTGGAGAATTTAGAAGTGATTCCTGTGTGATAGGTCTGTTCTTCAGAGACTGTTGTTCCCAGAGCTGATGATCCTTATCGGTGACAAAAAATGCCAATGAGTAATTTTAACACTCTCTGTCACCAGGGTTAGAGCAAAGAGTAGAAATAAAGCCGTAGATGAGGGTCAACTTTGAACTGTCAGCTCTATTGACAGGTGGGTCCTGGGTCTTCCCACCTGCCATCATGAAGCCCCTTTGAAGGAGGCGCTTGGCTTTGTTCCATTTTCTGCTCTGGACCTCAAGTGCCCACGGGGTCCATTGTTAGTGACAGTGAGAGGAACTTTGGTCAGTTTCCCTACCATGGAGGGAAGGGTCTCCAGCCTAAAGGCAACCAACATCCTGTTTATTCCCATGCCCTCCTGCCAGCTGACGCCACTACACAGGTCCCACTTGAAGTGAACTGAAAGCCCCAATCAGTGGGCACTGGGTGCCAGAGCCCCTTATTAAAAACGGGGAGATTGTGAATGGATCACAGCCAGAACATGGGACCATAACAGTGGCTTAGGAAACTGCTTCCCAGCTGAGCTCCAAGAGTGAGGACATTTGGGGCACAACCCGAGGGGATCTGGGATGAGTATGTAGGGTGAGCATAAAACCAGTCTCTGCTATTGAAAGTCACTGGATTGTGAGCTTGCTTGTGGTAACATGTCTTCCAGGTTTCCAGCTGACACAAAGTCACAATCTGATGCTTTTTAACATTATATCCTTGTGGTAGATCCCAGACCTGGATTGACTTAGTTTGGGTTTGTTACATTTCAGAGAAATTTGCTTTCTAAGGTGTGTCCCCCCCCCCCCCACTAGCCTAGTGAAATACCAAATCCATGACATCCTTGTCAGAATCTAGATGGGCCAGTTATTTTTTTAAACCGTTCATTTTTTACCTGAAAATGACCTGTCCTAATTAATTCAAAAATTGCTTCTTACAGTATGCAGAGGACAGTTCTGGGGTGATCTACGTTATGCTGAATGGCTCTGAACCAACAGGAGCCTATCCCCTCAAAGGGTAAGAACACCAACCCCAGCCAACATAGCAAAGAATGCCAAAAGGGTTATTTACTTGTTTGAACAGAGACTTACTGAGGTGATTCTAATCCCCAATCTAGTGCTGGATTTTCTAAAGTCAGGCAAAGCAAAGCAATTAAATGCCCTGGAAATCAGAGCCAAATCTACACATTTATACCACGTATACTAATAACAGCTGATGGAGACATGAGCAAAATAAATAACTCTAGGAAGTGCTAAAAAAAAAACAAACAAACAAAACAAAACAAAACAAAAAACCCTAAATGTGTAAGTCAACGAGCAGTGAGGTGGAAAAAAATCACATTGCCTATGGACTTTACGAACTGACTCTTCTGTTTCTCAGTTTTTTTGCAGACTATGAAATTCCCTACTTTAAGAAGGAGAAGATCACTCGATTTGAGATTTGGGTTATGCATGAAATTGGGGGACCCATAGTGTAAGTTATGTTGCAGTTGATGATGATAAATTGTGCAAACATGTTTTCTTGGAGATGATGTGATCAAGTTGTTTTAGGCAAATAACAGTCTGGAGAAGACCTTGGGAGGAGACTTGGTCCTCTTCTTCTTCTTTTTTTTTTTTTTGTTAAGATTTATGTATTTATGCATACAAGAGCTGGGGTACAGGCCAGAGGTGTTAGGGGAGCAGAACAGGCAGACTGATGAAGTCCACTGCTGAGGGGAGCAGCAGGCGAGAGAGGAGAGGTCTGCCGCACCATGTGGTTTTCTGAATTATGTTCTGCGGATATGAGGGAGACCATGCGAATTAAAAATAAGGACAGAGTGGCCCTCGCTGGTGGCGCAGTGGGTTAAAGCACAGCACTGAGAAACTAAAGCCACTTCTGCATGAGTTCGATTCCTGCCTGCCCCGGAGGCGACCACATGGCGCGGCAGACCTCTCCTGGCCCGCCCGCTGCTCCCCTCAGCGGTGTACTTCGTCCATCTGCCTGTTCTGCTCCCCGCTCTGTCTCTGGTGAATCCTCTCACCACCCCTGAGCCTCTGGTCTGTACCCCAGTTCTGTATGCGCAAATAAATAAATCTTTTTTTTAAAAAAATAAGGACAGAGTGTTTATACACAGATGGGGAAAGGAGAAGGCAAAACGCATTGAGCCGCAGAATCCCGCTGATACAGGTAAAAGGACTCAGAGTAATGAATATACTTTGAAAGCGTGGGGTGACAGACACCCCAATGTTAGCTGCACTTACCTCTAGTGATGTAGCTCTGGGGTCATTTTCTTATCTTGGGACTCACATTGTCATTCGAAGGGTAACTTAGCACACGGAGCGCTGAACAGGCTGGCACTTGGCTCTGTGCCCGGTCATTTCACTGAACAGAAGAGCGTGGACCCTGATGGCTTCGCGCTGGCGTGCTGCGCATGCGCCGGCGCTGGTCCTCCGGGGGATGCGCTGAGGTCCGCCGGTTGCAGCGGGTTGACCGCGAGCGCCGCTTGGCGATCGAGAGATTTTGCTATAACCCGCAGAGAGCAGAATATTCCGGAGCAGGGGGTCAAAAGATTTTTAATTAAAACTAGAAGATAATTCCTCCTTCCCTCCTCCTGCCTCTGATGTGAGCCCCAGCTTTAGCGGGGGGTGGGGGAAGTTTGGGGCTCTGTGCCCTCTTCTGCATGTCGTTACATATGCATGCTTTTCTGTTCTAGGGAATCCTGTGGCGAAGGGAGCGTGAACGTCCTGGAAAACAGACTGAAGGGAATGGGCTTTCAGTACAGCTGCATTAACGACTACGCGTAGGTGGCGCGACCCTCCGTGCGCGTCCGCGGGGCTACTGCGGTGTGGGGGGCCGGGACTCTGGAGAGGGCTTTGCTGGAGCCACGCTAGCAGCCGCGGGACTGTGCCTCCAGGGTCTGGAGACGCCTCCTGGCCAGGGCTCTGTCCAGAGTCCTTTCGAGGAACGAAAGGACCCAGCGGTCTTTCACGTTTGTGTCTGATTTACTCTCCGCGCAGAGCGTAAGTCGCGCCAGTAAGCTGATAGTGAGCTGGACTCCGCCCTGCCGGTGGGCAGGTATCAAGCTGGACTTTGAGACCCTTCATCCAGAGCCGTCTTGACTGTAGACCGCTAAAACAGTAATAGCTACCATTTATTGAGCACATTCTGGGCGAGGCACTTTACACGTTTATAATCAGATGTCACTCGAGGGCTTTCTCAATTCTTGGAAGTTTAGATAAACTCCGACAGCTGAGAGCCCTCCCCTGCCCGAAAAGCCTCGGCTGCTCCCTGCTGGCTGCTCCCTGCTCTCCTCTGCCTCTGCTCCTGGGTCTCCTCTCTGCTTCCTCAGGAGCTGAGATGGTAATTGGGTGGAGCTCTTAAAAGTCTGTTGGTGTGGCAGGGTGCAAATGACACCTCAGAATGTCCAGCACTCACGACCATCCACAGGCCTTGCCGCCCTCTGCCCTCTCAAAGCCTGCATGGACTAGACAATCTTTGCCCCTAGGCAAAGCTTCCTGGAGGTGTGGCTCTCCAGTCACACATGCCTCTGTTACAAAGGGAGTCATCTTGTAGTCCTCTAGATTCTTCTATGCATGAGACAGAGCGCTAAGAGAAAAAGTCATTAAGAAGTTTGAATGATAAATATATGCACCTCCTGTCTGCAGGGTGGGCGCCAGGCAGGACTGAGGGGCCCACCTCATGGCTTCAGATGCATCCGTAATAGTAATAGTGTGGCTCAGCTAGGCCACACTTTGAGGGAGGAGAAAGGAAAGTCAGGCCATTTACGGGGAAGGTGGATTTGACAAAGATGTGCAGATGAAGTCCTGCTTCTCCACCGTGTGAGGGAAGGTAAACTGTATTTGCTATGCAGACATCAAAAGCCACTTCCGCCCAGCCTTCAGGTCCCTGTAATTAATTTAAATTTAAATATTAACTAATAATTGGTTGATAATAAGTTAAACAAATTAAGTGAGTTAATTAATAAAAAGACACTTTGGGGTGGCAGATCTTTGCTCCCGTACACGGTATAACACAACAGTAACAAATATACGTGTGGTGTGTACACGTTACTGGAGAGAAGAAATGAGTCACAGAGATCCCATCGAGCAAATGATGTAGGTCAGTTGTCCGTCAGTCGCTCCGGCCACCTGCCCTGGGACCCTGAGCCGCCTCCTGATGCCTGCTGAGCCGCCTCTAGGGCTCCTCTTGCCCTACTGCTTCCCTGCCTGCCCGTCCTCCCCGGGGTGCAGTGAGTGCTGTGTCTTCTCCCTCTGCTGGGCACCTGCCTTCCTTTGCTGGAACCTGGGAGCCAGCCACCACCCCCTGCGCTTCAGCTCCAACCTCGGCCCAAAGTATTTATCAGGAGATTTTCAAAGCAAAATCATACATCTGCACAGAAGAGTTTCCACCCCTGGGCTCTGGAGAGCTCAAATTTCAACTCTGCAGCTCGCTCCTCTGAGAACACAGGCAAGGTTCTCCGGCCAACTCTCTCCTAACCCATGGGCAGGTTGGAGATGATAATCATTGTGAATTTTTTTTTTGGGGGGTACATAGTAATTGCTTAAAAAATGCTGCCTAATATTTTAGAAAGGAAATAATTGATGTGCCTGTCGAGGTCCGATGTAGGCTCTCCAGTACCTGCTGGGCCCACTGTCAATAATGCAGGGTGCTGTTGCAATAGTCCTTTCAATGTCTGCCTTTGCTTTCTGCAGACCAGTGAAGCTGCTCAAGTGCGTGGACCACAGCTCTCACCCAGACTGTGTCTTAAACTCGTAAGTAGAGTCTTAGCCTGAGCCTTGCTTCTTCAAGGCAGTCCTGACTCCTCTCAGACCAGGGATGAGTTGCAGTAGGAGTTCACTCCTCCCACCAACGTGCCTCGGTGCATTCGCACACCTGCCCTCCCGTCTCTCAGTCTCTCTGAGCTCCCGGGTTGCTGTGGCTTTGACTTGATTGGCTGTGGCTGTGTTGTGGTGCAGAGCTTGCCCTGGGCAGACCTCTGCTCCAGTTGCACTTGCTTCAGCAGAATTTCTAAGAGTGGGATGACAAGAGCTCACCTTTTACTACCTAGCCATAATAGGTTTTAAGATCATTAATTTTCCAGGAAAAGTAACACATATGCCTGAGGTGAAATTCAAAGTTACAAAAGGGGAGAGAAAGTGGCTGTCTTTCTACCTTTATCCCCCAACTCGCAATTCTCTTACCCAGACACAGCCGCTATTTCTAATTTCTTGGATGTCCTTCCAGAGCATTCTGTGTCTGTAGCAGCACACACACACATGCAAACAGGCATGCTCGCCGGTGTGGTATCTCAAGGAAGCTTCTTTTCTCACCCAAGGACATGAGAAGATAACCTCCAGATTGCTATCAGCGCTTACCTCTAGAGCGAGGTATAAGAACTAGAAAAAGATGAAGAGATGTTTCTTGCATAGGAATCATTTTATTTCATTAAAAATAAAACTAAATGAATCACTTTATTAATTAGTTAGCTGTTTTACAACAAAAGCAGGTTTTGGAGGAGAATAAATCTAGTCTGGGACCTTATGTGACCCAGAGGTGCAATTACAGGACATGTCCGTCAGGTGGCGCCGAGGTACACATTTGTGGGCCACCTGCTTGGGCCTGAAGTCCAGGGCGGTGGGGTCGTTTCATAATTAAAAAACAAACAAACAAAACAACAAAACAACCGTATTTTCTATTGGTCTCCAATGATGTAGCAAGTTCTGTTTCAAATACTCTGGCATCACCAGAATCCACATTTTGACCTGGAATTCTCGCCACGTCTTAGGTCAGCACATTGCCTTTCTTCCTCCTGAACCTCCGATGATGCCATGTCCAGCGATGGGGAGCGTCGCCAGCTGGCCCTGGCATCAGCATGCAGGGCGAATGTACCACAGGGAAGGGTGGGCGAGCTCCTGGCACCACTGTGGGGAATCCACGAGATGGCTCAGGGGAGCAGACGAGGGGTAGATCCAGCCGCGCTTATC